GTGAAACATTATTACTCCCATTTTATAAATGTAAGTGTATGTGGGATACAGACTTGAGAATGGCCACGGTGGTGGTGGTTTGAATGAGATGCCCTCTTATCTATGGCATGTGAAGACTTAATCCCCAGATGGAGGACTGGTTTGGGTAGGTTTAGGAGGTGTGAACTTTCTGGAGCAAGTATGTCCCCAGGGGCAGGTTTTGATGTTTCAAATGCCTTGTGCAATTTCCAGTTTGTTCCCTGTGCTTCCTGCAGGAGGTTTAAGATGTGAGTGCTCAGCTGTTGTTCCAGTTACCAGGCCTGCTGCTGCAACACTTTCCAGCTGTGAGGGTAATGGAACCATAAGCCCAAAATAAAGCCGTCCTTTATGAAAATGGTCAGGATTTCATATACATAATTTAAATTTATTTTATGTGTATTGGTGTGAAGGTGTCAGATACCCTGGAATTGGAGTTGTTACAGGCAGTTGTGAGCTGCCATGTGGGTGCTGGGAATTGAACTGAAGAGCAGGACCTCTGGAAGAGCAGCCAGTGCTCCTAACAGCTGAGACATTTCTCCAGCCCAGTAGAGTCACAGTCACAGCAGTGTCAGAGTGACTAAAACAGTGTCTATATGACTTATTTAAAAAAAGTCTTTATGAAAAAGACTCAGTTATTTTTCTGCATAAATGTTTAGCCTACATGTTTATATGTGTACCATGTTGTGTAACTGCTGCCTGCAGAGGTAATAAGAGGCTGTCAGAGTCCCTGGAACCGGATTTCTGACAGTTGTGACCAAGCATATGGATATCGGAATGTTAACCTAGGTTGTCTACAAAAGCTGCCAGTGCTTTCAACCACTGATCCATCATATATACTTGCCCACCAGAAGAGGGCACCAGGTCTCATTATAGATGGTTGTGAACCACCACGTGGTTGTTGGGAATTGAACTCAGGACCTCTGGAAGAGCAGTCGGTGCTCTTAACCTCTTAATCTCTGAGCCATTTCTGCAGCCTGAAACCAGCACTTGTATCCACATAACCAAACCAAACCAAACCAAAACAAAACAGTTGAGAGCAGTAAAGAGTGCTTGCTCTCATCCAGAAGACCCAGGTTAGGCTCCCATCACCCACATTAGGTGGGGTAAGCCCAACTCCAGGAATCTGACACCCCTTTCTGGTCTCCACAGGCACCACGCTCATGTACACACACCCACAAAGCCCACCCCCACCTGCACATAAATCTTCAAAAACATTTAAAAAATGCCCACACATTGTCTGTTGGTTTCCATTCTATAACATATTGTAGACATGGGTATGGTACCATAAAATACCACCTAGTGACACTATAGTCATCTTTATTTTGTTTTATTTATTTATTTTGGTTTTTCGAGACAAGGTTTCTCTGTGTAGCCCTGGCTGTCTTGGAACTCACTCTGTAGGTCAGGCTGGTCTTGATCCACCTGCCTCTGCCTCCCAAATGCTGGGATTAAAGACATGTGCCACCATCACCACCACCCAGTAATCCTATTTATAGAAGCCACTCTAGGATGTTTGTACAGGATGAAATGAAATCACTCAGATGTCTGCAGACAGCGTGCATCCCTTTGAGGTAGCCCAGGCTGCCTTCAACTTGTAATCTTTCTGTCTGAGTCTCAGTCGTGCTAGGGAGAGAGACACCTATCTGGGAGGTCACCTTTCTTGGAATCTGTCTCCATTGCCTAGCAAGGCATGGCTATGACTTTCTATGGTGTTCCATTGCTTCCCACGAGAGAGCAGTTGCAAAGCAGGAGCATTTTCTATGAAAAGGCATTAGGGACATTGGTTTTAGCTCATGTAAAGCGCTTCCAAAACAGCAACTGGACTTTGTAGACTGCCTTGGTGATGTCTGTGGGTCCTCTGGGCATAAGGATAGGGTGTTTCCAGTACTCTGGAATCCGGAGTCACTGAAACAGTGTGACAGGCAGCACATACTGCACCAGGTCACAGCTCAGAGGAACTCTGGGGCCACTGCAGTCTTGTACAATGTGTCAGCCTTACGGTCTTGTAGTTCCCTGTGACTCTGGAAAGCTGACTGATTAATAAGCACAGACGTGACAATAGGGTACCAGCCTGCTAAGAAGTGTTCAGGGCTCTTAGCTTTTCTCTTTTCCTCTTAACAAACAACAGTCTAGAAGACGTTAGGAGGGTCTGGGAAGGCAGTGCATGCTGGACGTGTACATGCGGAGGAGCAGGAGAAGAAGGGGAAGCTACTTGGTCAAGAACAGGGCACCAAAGAAGCCAAGCAGGGTAAGGAGGATGTCTCTTGAGAGATGACTCCGGGAGGTGGAGTGGGAGTGGGAAAGGCACAGGGCCCAGTGAGAGGGGGTTCCTCCAGAAAGAATGGATACATGAGGAAAGTTCAGGATTAGAAGGAAGCCAGCCTGGTGATGCACACCTTTAGTCCCAGCTCTCAGGAAGCAGAGGCAGGAGGGTCTCTGAGTTACAGGTCATCCAAGACTACATAGTGACAGCCTGTATCAGTCGAACAAACAGATTCAAGGGTAGTAATCTGGTTACAGTTTGTGGCTGTTCTCAGGGGCCTCTCATTGAAGCTTATGTTCACTGTCTGTTTCAGTGAGCTATTGACTGCTATTGACTGGAAGAAGTATGTAGCTAAAGAGGAACCATGAAAAAGAGCACCATTAAAAAAAAAGCCTGATTTTAATCATAGAGGCTTAAACTGCTCATATAGGAGGAGGCCCTTGTTCACAGGAAATTCATCTTTTAGTTTTGTTTTCCAGTGCTGGGATTGAACATAGGTCCGAACACGAGCTAGTCAAGCACCCTACCTCAACTTATCCCAGCCATGGAAATACCTTACAGTGTTGGGATGCACTGGGTTGGGTGGTCCCAGGACATAATGTGGGCAATGTATGTGCAAAAAGATTTGAGAAAACTTTTTTTCTTTGTAATTTGTAAATGAAAGAGAAACACACACACACACAGACACAGACACACAGACACACAGACACACAGACACACACACACACACAGAGAGAGAGAGAGAGAGAGAGAGAGAGAGATTTTAGTTTTTCCTGAACCTAAATGGAAAAAGAAATGCAGAGAAGGCAGGAAAGCTGAGAATGGAGGACCTGCAGGAAGACACGAGGACAATCTTCACCTTGGCTATTAAATTTTTGGAGACAGGAGTCACTACGCATCTCTGCCAGACCTCAAACTTCTTGATTTAAGCAATCTTCCTGCCTCAACTTCCACATTGCTAAGATTAAGTAGAAATCATCTCCCACACCTTCTCCCTCTTCTTCTCCCTCCTGCATCCTTTCTCAAGAATTCTCAAAAATTCGATCTTGGGAAGTCTCAAATCCTTTTGCTTTTCCCTGTTGTTCTAAAATTTTAGCCTCATTCATGAAATAACATTTAAACATCAACTGGGGCCCATCATCCAGGACTGCTGAAGCTAACTGGAGCCAGTCATGTGATATAGCCTTAATGCTTTAGAAGCCCATGTCTGTATTATCTCCCTAACAAATGCAGAATGCAAGCCATAAATTATGACAGTTTGCTTAATTTCTTTTAGATAATTCATTTCTATAGATATCCATCTACCTTCTTTGATCCTTTCGGGCCTTTAGTACTTGATGCTTTGTCAGAGTAGATTACAGGGTAGGAAGCTAAAACCCTGGGTAAATCATCTCTGACAGCCACTGATGATGTTGAATTCTGTCCTTGTACCTTCTTTCCCTGTTCATCAGCTCCAATAATTTCCTCAATCATTTCAAATCTTTTTACTACTGTCTTTTGTAATGCATGAATCTTCTGGCCTGTATATGTTTCTAGTGATTTCATTGAGGCACCTAGCCTCTGGTCCTCATTCTGCACATGTGGTTCCAAGGTCTGAAGTTTCTCCTTTAAAGATAACACCTCATCCTCGGATATTATTTGAATAGTGTGTAGACTGCTATCCTGGAGAGATGCTTTATCTACTAACCTATCGTAACTTTTAACAAATTTTGATTGTCAAATTCAACAGTATGAATTCTTTCAGATAATTTCTCAGTACCCTTAGACATGGATTCAATTTTGTCTGTCAAATTAATGTTACCCTTTTCAATAGTATTAATTTTTTTCAGGTAACTTTTGATTCTCGATGATATTAATCCTGTCAACTAGGTATTCATTATTAGTCTGTAAAGACTGTATTATTTCTAAAAGTCCTCATTCTTGGCTCTGTTATCAAACCATTTTCTTAAGGATATAATATGAGGAAAAAAGCTGAGTCCCAATATCCAATAAGTGGATGTATCACCATAACCATATAAGCCTTGCAGAATACAGTCCATAGTACTAGCAAAAAAAGTTACTAAAAGTTTCAATGTTAATGTAGTCTGTCACATTGAGATCCAGTAAATTGTTTTAGGTGTAATAATCTTTATTGTCCAGCAGGTGTCGTGGTTGCAGAGTCACGACTAGCAGTGATGCAACCCAGAGACCCTTAACTAAGATACTTATTTTCTCACTTTCCCCTTATGTGTCTCTAACTCTGGACTAACATGATAGTTTCTTAGGACAGGGTAGAGGTTTTGTATTTTTTTTAAAGATTGATTTATTATGTAAACTGTATTCTACCTGCATGTATGCCTGCATGCCAGAAGTAGATACCAGATCTCATTGTAGATGGTTGTGAGCCACCATGCAGTTGCTGGGAGTTGAACTCAGGACCTCTGGAAGAGCAGCCTGTGCTCTTATTCTCTAAGCCATTTCTTCAGCCCCGATTTTGTAACTTTTTAGATAGGATCACAGTGTCTTAGCCTGGCCTTGAACTCTTGTGTAGCCAAGAAGACCTTAAACTTTTGATCCTTCTGCCTCAACCTCCTGAGTACTGGAATTACAGGTATGTGCTGCCATGCCTAGTTTTTTCTTTTTCTTTTTCTTTTTCTTTTTCTTTTTCTTTTTCTTTTTCTTTTCTTTCTTTCTTTCTTTTTTTTTTTTGTGGCACTTGGGATTGAAACCAAGGCTTCATACAAACTAGGCAAGCACTCTCCCAACTGAGTCATGGAAAGGGATCTTAAAAGAAAAGCAGCAACAGAAATACAGCGGCTCATATCAGAGAAGTGAAGACGGGCTGAGGGCTGAGGAGACCTTCTGTGGGGGGGAGTGGGGGGAGCTGATTCACTACAGTGGGGACCTTGACGGCTTAGGGGGAGCTTAACAGCAGGTGGGCAAGGTGGGGCTTTATTAGGCACCTGGCTGGAATAGTCCATGTTGGTGTTCTAGCTTCAGGGTGGGGGTTTATTAGGCACCTGGCCAGGCTAGCCCATGTTGGTGTTCTAGCTTCAGGCTCTGCAGTGGTTTCAGCCTCCTGTCCTCCCACATTGAAAGGACTCATTTCTAAGCCCTTATTCCAGTAGTGAGAGCTCCAGATGTGGGTTCCAGGCTGTGTCACAGTCTGCTACCATGCCCCACAGTTTGCTGCGGAGAGCAGTATGTGGAGTCACAGGGCTGACTCTAAAGTCACCAGGCCATGCTGTCCCTAGAGAGAACACAGGGAGTAATGGATCACCTGGAGGTAGAAAATTCTTTCATACACATTTGGTTGACACAATCACATTTTTGTTGCTTATTTGCGAAAGGGTCTCACTACTGTAGCTCACGCTGACCTGGAACTCAAGATCCTCTTGTCTCAGTCTCCTGAATCACAGCTGGAATTATAGCTTTGACCCGCCATGTCAGCCCTAAATCACATTTGGACTCACCTTTGAATATGGATTTCTGCGCACTTAAATTGAGGGGACAGCGTTGTGCTCAGCACGAGGGCCAAAGGAAAGAGCCTCTGGGAAAAAATTCCATTTACCGTAGCTGGTGCTTTATCTGGAAACAGATATGTAGGCAGGAGTTCATGGAAGCTATCTCGAGAGTGGTCCAAGCCTAGACTCCAGCTTCTGAAACCGTGTGCCATGACATCATATGGAGATGATAACTCAGGATGAGGGTCCCAAAAGGGTGACAATGCAAAAAATGGTTCTGAGTGCAGAACCACCAAAAATTAATTTAAAACCAAATGTGTAATACTTCTGAGATGTTTCTGGAAGCTCTTCCGTGCTGCATCATGTGACCTCACCACAGTCTTCTGAACACACATCAGGAGCATTTTGCACTGTGTGTGCACCATCATGCCATGCAGTGCCAACCAGCATGGCCTGAAACATTTGGTTGAGGTCCAAGGTTACCCAGCTATGAACTATGGTGTTGCTGCTGTACATACTGTTCTCTGCTTTGAGAGAAATGTGATGGTTTCACTATGGGAAACAAAGACTTTAATATTTTCATAGGATTCATCCCTCAAGATGCAAGTGTCAAATTAGCATATCTTTGGGTTGTATTGTGTTAGAATATTTGATATAAAATTTTATTTTAGGGACTCACAACCATCTATAACTCCAGTTCCAGAGGATCTGATGCCCTGTTCTGACTTCCATGAGCACCAGGCATGCATGTGGTCCACAGACATACATGTGCACAAGACATTCATACCCATATATAAATTTAAAAAATATTTTATTTTATACGTAAGGGTGTTTTGTCTGCATGTATTAATAGGTTTTCTGTACCCCACAGTAGGTTTCTCCACTGATGCAGTAAGTCAGATCAAGCCAAATTGAAAAAGTATAGCAACAGGTTTATTTGAGCAAAGCAACTCCTGGGCGGGTTCTCCAGTCCCAGAGATTAAGGCAGGAGAAGCCACATGCCTGAACTAAAGTAGCGAGCTTATATAGGTTGTAGGCAAGGGGGTGATGATGTGTCCGCCACAAGCTGGGTTTATGCCCAAATATAATCAAAAGCTGAGCCCTTTAGGTGGGGACTTGGGCCCCTGGCAACTTCAGGGGAGAAAACTCCAGTAGCCACCAAGAATTATTAATTTGGGAACTGAGCTTTTCGGTGCCTTTTCTTTGTTAGGAGATTCTCTGAGTGGGCGGGGTTTGGCGAGGGAGACAGGAATGGGGCTTTCCGAATCATGCAGGGGCGAGCTGGAGGTTCCAACCATCTGCAGTACCCACAAAGGCCAGCCCAGAAAGTGACAGATGGTCGTGAGCTGCCTTGTGGGTACTGAAATTGAACCTGAGTCCTCTAGAAGTTCAACCAGTGCGTTTAACCACTTAGTCATCTCTTTAGCCCTAGAATTGCTGATTATAAAAACTACTATTTGAAGCCAGGCAGTGGTGGAGCACGCCTTTAGGCCCAGCACTCCGAAGGCAGAGGCAGATGGATCTCTGTGAGCTCAAGGCCACCCTGGTCTACAGAGCAAGTTCCAGGACAGCCAGAGCTCTTACACCAAAAAAACCCTGTCTTGAAAAAACCAAAAATACCTGGCTCAGTGGTTAGGAGCACTGACAGTTCTTCCAGAGGACCTGGGTTCAATTCCCAGCACCCACATGGCAGCTCACAACTTGTAACTCTGCCCAGGGGATCTGACACCCTCACAAAATACCAATGCACAGAAAGTAAAAATAAATAAATAATTTAAAAAAAGAAAGAAAAAACCAAAACCAAAACAAACAAAATTATTAGAGTTCTAACATGGATTTTCTAACAAAATCATTAAATGAATTTTGGCTTGGGGTTGGTACAGAATTCACAATTTCTGAAAAGGCCTTAAACATCCTTCTCTCGGTTTGCATTATGAATTCATGCAAAGCAGTATCAACAACAATTAAATTCATAATATTCTTAAAAACATCATAGATTCTCAGCCAAGATGGAATTTTTATGTAAAAATAAACACATCCATTTCATTAGCATGCAAGTTCATCTTTAACTTTAATAAATAGTAAAATTATAAATATACCAAATAATTTTTGTTGTTGTTGTTCTCAGGGTTTCTCAGTGTATCTCTGGCTGTCCTGGAACTTACTTTGTAGACCAGGCTGGCCTCGAACTCACAGAGATCCACCTGCCTCTGCCTCTAGAGTGCTGGGATTAAAGGCATGTGCCACCACCATCTGACTCCAAATAATCATTTTAAAATAAGTTAATGGCCAGGTGGTGGTGGTGCATGTCTTTAATCCCAGCACTCTAGAAGCAGAAGCAGGCGGATCTCTGAGTTCCAGGCCAGCCTGATCTGTAGATTGAATTACACAGAGAAAGTGTTTTGAAAAACCTAAATAAATAAGTTTATGATTTATTATCAGTAAAATTTTTACTGTCCATCTGTCTTACATATCTATGTATTAGGAGTCATAAGTTTAAAGGTTTAAGAGCCCTGGCCTGGACTTCTTTACATGCTAAACCATGTGGCTTTGGACAATCCACTTCCCCTCTCTGGGGGCTTTGGTATCCTATTCTGGAAACAGAGACAAGAGTGCTCATCTTGCCCACCCCAGAGAAGCACTCAAGTTCCTATGTATTCAAGCAATCTTAAGCCCCATCCCCACAGAACCAGCCCAAGTGCTGATACATGAACTCAGGTAAAGAAAATATAAGTCTCAAAATAGCCATTCTTTGTTTTTCTTTCTTGGAAAGATTCCTGTGACCAGACATGTGCTGGGGAAACAGCACTTTTTCTTCTGATTAATCACATCCATCTAGGATGGAACGACATGGTCTCTCTGAACCCAGACTTGATGTCGGTTCTTAGACTGTAGTGTGCCTCTCCTTAATCACAGAGAGCAAAATGTGAAAAAGTATGTAGTGGTGGTTATTAACTAGTGTGCATTAGAAATACCTGGGGCTGGAGAGTTGGCTCAGCAGTTAAGAGCACTGGCTGCTCTTCCAGAGGTCCTGAGTTCAAGTCCCAGCAACCACTTGGTGGCTCACAACCATCTGCAATGATATGAGTGCCCTCTTCTGGCTGTTTTCTGTGTGTCTATCTCTCTCATTGTACTGGGGATGGTTCAGGGACCCACACGTGCTAGACGAATGCTCTACTGATGAGCTATCTCCTCAGTTCCTACACCTTTTTGGGGGGTGGGGGTGTAGTATGAGACAGGGACTATATAGCCCAGAGTGGCTTCAAGCTCCTTATGTAGCCTGGCTTTGAACTCCCCATGCTTCTGGCTCCACTTTCCAAGTGCTTGGGTTACTGATGTGGAACACCATGCCAGACCTGGTGTATATTTTTCACAGAGAGGGCACTTTACCTAAGAGTGTTTTTATATTTAAACATTTAAATGTGAAATGAAGTTGAAGCTGTCATGCATCATTTCCCTGCAAAGTCCTGTGATTTTCATCATCATAGCTGTGACTTATACAACTATATTTTATTATTGCTTTTGTTTTGTTTTTGAGACAAGGTCTTGATATGTAGCCCGGACTAGCTTGAATTAGCGTCTCCGACCTCAGCCAGGCAAGTGCTGTCAAGTGATCACCGAGTTACCTCCTCAACATTTCACTGCTGTAATTTTAAAGAATAAATAATTTAAATTACATTTAGGGGACTGGAGAGATGGCTCAGTAGTTAAGAGCATTGGCTGTTCTTCTTGGGTTCAATTCCTAGCACCCATATAAAAGCCAGCAGTGGTCTATACCTCCAGTTCCAGGGAATCTGATGCTAGCTGCCAGGTAGCTCTAAGGCTACCACATGTATATGACACATAGACACAGATGTCAAACACCCATACACATAAAATACATTTTTTGGACTGGAGAGATGGCTCAGCGGTTAAGAGTACTGATTGTTCTTCCAGAGGTCCTGAGTTCAATTCCCAGCAACCACATGGTGGCTCACAACCACCTGTAATAAGATCTGGTGCCAACTTTTGGCCTTCAGGGGCACATGCAGGCAGAACATTGTTTATATAATAAATACATAAATCTTTGAAAAAAATACATTTCTTTTTGTTTGTTACAAGGTTTCTCTGTGTAACAGCTCTGGTTGTCCTGGAACTCACTTTGTAAACCAGGCTGGCCTCAAACTCAGAGACTTCTGCCTCCCTAGTGCTGGGATTAAAGGCATGTGCCACCATACCCAGCCCTAATGATTTTTTTTTGGATCCCTAATGAATTTTTTATGATTTATTTATCTTTATTTTATGTGCATTGGTGTGAAGGTGTCAGATCCCCTGGAACTGGATTTTCAGACAGTTGTGATCTGCCATGTGGGTGTTGGGAATTGAACCCGGGTCCTCTAGAAGAGCAGTCAGTGCTCTTAACCACTGAGCCATTTCTCCAGCCCTCCCTAATGAATTTTTAAAATTAATATTGGATATTAGATTTTGAGAATGTTATAGAGTCAAATGTGAATTTTTTTAGGTTGACTTTGCTCTTTGAAAACTTGGTATTAACATCTTCGTTGGTTTTGTTTTGTTTTTTGATACAGGGTTTCACTGTATAGTCCTAGTTGTAGGCAGACTTTTCTGTCCCACCAGCCAGTTCCCAAACAACCAGAGACTTAATATTAATTATAAATGCTCAGGCAATTGCTTAGGTTCACTTTTAGCTAGTTCTTATTACTTGAATTAACCCATTTATATTGATCTAGGTGCTTCCCTGAGTCTTGTTTACCTCATGTATGTACTTCCCACCTACTCTGTGTCTCATGGCCTCTCCTGAGACTCCACCCTCTTTCCCCCAGCATTCTCTGTCCAGAAAATCCTGCCTAAGCATCGACCAATCATCTTTTTATTAACAATGAGAACAACAAGACTTCACAGTATACAAAATGCTTATTCCACAGCATCTGGCTGTCCTGAAACTAGCTGTGTAGACCAGACTGACCTCAAACTCAGAGATCCACCTGCCTCTGCTCCTGATGCTGGAGTCATAGGTGTGCACCACTACCCAGCTGGTATTAACGTCTTGAGATCCACCCTCATGGCTGTATGCCAAGTTTTTGTTGGGAAGTCAAATTCTGTGGCATAGGAGAGGGACTGGTTATTTAACCAACCACCTTTAAGAGGCCATTTCTAGTTTTTGTTCTTATAGATGAAGCTGCTGTAAATGTTCATACACACATTTTATGAGGAAAAAACCCACTTTTTTTTCTGGAACAACTCCTCATGAATATACTTTCAGGGTAGTATGTGATCAAAATATTTTTTAAGAATATTTTTTATTTTATGTACTTACATTTTGCCTGCCTGCCTGCATGTGCACCACATGTGTTCCATGTGCTCAAAGTTCAGAAGAAGGTATACAAACCCCTAGAACAGGAGTACAAATATTTGTGACCCACCAAGTAGGTGCTGGGAACCGAACCCAGGTCCTCTACAACAGCAGTAGTATGCACACTTAACACTGAAGGGACATCATTGTGCGATAATCTTCTGGTGGTGGAGTTTCCTGGTCAAAGTAATGTGTACTTGTAATAGCTGCTGCCAAATTGCTTTCAAGAAGGCAGAATCATTTTTATAGTCCCAGTAACAATGAACAAGAGTGTTTGTCTATTTATTTATTTATTTATTTATTTTTGGCTTTTTGAGACAGGGTTTCTCTGTAGCTTTGGAGCCTGTCCTGGCACTTGCTCTGTAGACCAGGCTGGCCTCGAACTCACAGAGATCCGCCTGCCCCTGCCTCCTGAGTGCTGGGATTAAAGACATGCTCCACCACTGCCCGGTCTGAATATTTTTTTTAAGCCAATCCAACGTCTATAAAATAGAATTTCACTATAATTTTTACTTGTATACTTGATATTATGTAAGGACTAATTATCTTCCCATTTACTTAAAAGTCACTTGTGTTCAGTTTCTATTAACTGTGTCTTCATATCCTTGCCCATCTAATATATTCTTTTTAAATCAGTGTTTAATAATAAAGATGCTATTATTCTGTGTTCGTTTGGTCAAGAACTGGGTCAGAGACAGAAGGCTCCGTACCCCCAAGCACAGCAACTCTCTTCTTATTAACTTCTTCCGAGGAAGGCTCCCTTTGTCTTCCTAGCACTCCACACCCCTTTCATAGGTCAGCCTGTGCTCCATTAGGTTCCCCTGGAGCGCTCCAGCCGTGCCTCCTTCGGGGTCCAGCCTACTCCCACCTCTCTCCTTCCAGGGCCCACTGTGCAGCCCTACTCAGGTGAGCCTTTGCAGACCTGCAGCTATGTCCCTGCAAGGCTGGCCTGACCCTTGCCCACAGCCTAACTTCCTGCTCCACCCACTTCCAGTGTGACCAGGACAGGGTGTCTGAGGGTTTTCCATTCTCCTATCGAGGAATTACTAAAAGCATGACCCAGGATTGTTCAGGCACCCAGGATCGTCCCTGTGGTTTGGGACAGACCAAGGCCCCTTCTCTTGTCCAACTGACACATTTAGTTTTGGGGAGAACAAGAGAGTTACACACACAAATGTCAGTTAGGTGCAAACAAGTGAGTTAAAGCAGCAGAAGGGTCTCTTGTGCTCTGGGGGTTCAGGAGAGACCCCCCAAGAGTTGAATACTTAAAGAGGTAAGTGTTACAGGCTGCGGACTGAGTAGGGAAATCTAGGCAGCGCCTCTTTTTGTCACTCTTGAGAAGTGAAGGCAGATGCAGCCTGTGATCTCGGCAGTTTCAGATGTGTGGGAGCATGAAGAGGACCAAGGTGGTCCTGGCCCACGGCCCTGCTGTGAGCTGGGGAAGATGAATGCCAGCTTGCCCTGGGGTTACTAGAGCGCCCACTGTGTGCCAGGGTTCAGCGAAGCTGCTCCACCAGCTCTGCTCACAGCCCCTCCTAGACCCCATTCTTAAACTTTACTTTTTGTTTTTTATGGCAGTGTCTCATAGTAGCCCTTGCTGTCCTGAAACTCTTAAACAGCTCTGGCTGTCTCTCGACTAGCAACAATCCTCCTGCTTCAGTCTTCCCAGAGCCGGAATCACAGGCAATTCAGTCTTCCCAGAGTCGGAATGAGAGGCCAGCCTTTCACTTATTTTACAGAAGCCCTGGAGGCTGCTCCGGAATCCAGCAGAAACCTGTTCGGTGCTCCTAGGCTAAGAAAGAAGCATACTTCCGGGGAAAAGGGAAAAGAAGCTGCGGGTGTGCAGGTCGGCTGGTTTTCCTGAAGCAAAGGTGTGTGTGTGCGTGTGCGTGTGCGTGTGTGTGTGTGGTGGGGTCAGTCTGTTCCATCGCCCGCAGATCTCAGGGGACAAAGGCTGAGGGGCCCTGCGCTCCGGCCGGCCCCTGCACCAGGGAACTTTGGAGTCACCAGCCGCGACATCTCGGGCTCAGACACCAGACCGAGTCACCAAAGTTGGGAGCCCACGCAACATCCAGCACGGAGGACACAGTGAGGTCCAGCCAAGTCGCTCGTATCTCAGCCCCTTCCCACTTTAGCCTCGCTCCCTCACTCCTTCCAACTTCTTGGACCCCTCTCCCTACCCCTCCCCACATTTTGTCCCTCTCCTCCCTATTCCCATCTAACTCCTTGCCCCTCACTTCTTGCTACTCCAGCTCCCTGTTTCTTATCCTTCCCATTCACTCAGTCCTAACTTCGTGCACCCCTGTCCCCCACCCCCGCCGCCGCGCCCCGCCCCTTACCCCGCCCCTTCACCCCTCCCCCCCCTCCCCCGGCCCGGGGCTCTGGCGCTGGGCGAACATGGCGGCGGCGGTCGGGCGGGACACCCTACCTGAGCACTGGTCGTACGGCGTCTGTCGGGACGGCCGTGTCTTCTTCATCAAGTGCGCGAGGGGCGGCGGCACTCGGGTGGGGTCGGGCGCCGGGGGCTGGGGCCCGGGGCGGGCGTGTGAGGCGGTGGCGCTAACAGGTGCACCTCTCCCGCAGTGACCAGCTCGGCTGCACGACCTGGCTGCACCCGCGGACCGGCGAGCCGGTCAACTCGGGTCACATGATCCGCTCAGGTGGGCGCGGGGCCGTCGGGGGGCGGTGTCGGGTGTCGGGGGGCGCCACGGCCACGGGAGTTTGACCGACTTTTCTCGCCTTCCCACAGACTTGCCGCGCGGCTGGGAGGAGGGCTTCACAT